AAAATGGATATCCGAATAAATTCAGATCTGGATATCCAATAGATAAATGGATAAACGGATAATGGATAGGAACTCTAGTTATATTATCAGAATTTTCAAAATTTATAGCAAAAGAATATCCATTTGATGATGAAACAGCTTCTAACTTTGCCAACATTCAGGAGTATTGGGATTTTTCCGTAGGTGCTACAAAAGAATTAGGCATGCTTGCAATCTGTTTATTCTCAATTTGTATTAATTCTGCATCATATGAGCATTTATTTTCAACAATGGGCTTTTTTCACAACTCATGACGCATCAGATTACTAGTAAAAAAATTCATATTAATATATATATTTTAAAATTGAATAATATTGATATTTTTAATGAAATTTTTTACTCTTAGCTTGATAAAGTTTTTTCAATGGCACAAATGTGAGCCGAAATTAAGTATAAATATACAATTGAAGCAGCAAAATCTCTAAAGCAAAATATATTAGCAAACATAAATATTATATATAGTTCTGATGATCATAGACACAAACAACCAAATTCTTGCGATATTGAACAAAAAAGTTCTGATGTTATAGATTTAGAAAGTTCTGACGTTATAGAACTAGAAACTAACAAAAATGAAGAAATGATTATTGAAGATGATTTCGAATCAAGTGTAGATGAAGATATTAGTGAAGAATAGAAAGCAGTTCTTAAAGAATGGTCTGAGAGTCTTATTTCTGAAGAAGAAAGCATAAAAGAACATGAAAATTTGTTTGGAACGGATGAATTGGAAGAAACAGAGGAAACAGAAGTTTGGATTGTCAGGTAGGTAGGTGGCTTTACAAGTCTTGTTTTTTTGAATTTCACAATAGTCTCTTGAGTAACTTTATTAATCTTAATTCGACAATCGGATTGTTCTATATATAAGAGATATGAACTGTTATTTAATAGATATCTAAATAATAGTAAATCCAATAGATACCATTGGATTTACTATTAATTTAGTATCCAATGAATAACAGTTCACATCTTTAGTATAAACAATACAAATCATTTTTTACTTCAAGAATCGGTTAATTTATAGTTATATGATTTTTTCATGTTGGGCAGATTTTAATTGAGATACGACATATATATGTATCAAGATTTATGATTGATATTTATATTTAAATTACTAAAGTTTTGTAAAAAAACAAAATAGCAGCACGTAGAAGTGTAAACTCAAAGGTCAAATTTTGCAGTATTGGCCAGAAAAGTTCCAGAAGGAACCTGCGATTACCCATCAGAAGAAGAGGAGCAATTTGAAAAAGAAAGAATCTAAATTAAAAAGTAAATATAATGGAAAAAGAAGCTTTAGACTATAGACTAAGAAAGCAAAGAAAGCTAAATATCTTGGAGTAATTGATAGAGGGAAAATACATTTTGAAGAGAATCAAAATATCGGAAAACAAGAAGAAAGTTTAAGGGTCATAAAAGAATTAGAGAAAACTCAGGCCACTCAAACAAAAGAGAAACTATTCATAATATCATTATATTTGTCATGAATTAGTTTCATATAGTCATTCCTATTATTGAACATATTCTAACACTTTGTAATATACAGGAAAGCGAAATTAAAAAACTAGAGCATGAAGAATGTGATTAATTCAGAAGAACATGCATCGAGGAAACTATTGAAACCCGTATTTATTCCAAAATATGTGTGTAATTTAGGTAACAGTGTAAATTGTAAATTACTTAAAGAGCTAATTGTTAACGCTTTTTAGAGAATATAGAAAAACAATACTAGAAAAGGAAAGAACTAAAAAATTAGAAGAAACAAAAAGATTGCTAGAACTGGAAGAGAGAAAAAAAGAGTAGTGTTTGATGGTCGCCAAAATAGTTTAGAAAGAATTACAAAAACTGGTAAATTTCTTTTAATACACAGTTTTTGTATACTTGTTTTGTTGCACATTAAACTATGAAACTTGTATTCAATAGAATAACTGGTGTTAATGAAATTGATGATGTAGGCGGCTTGGATGAAAAGGCAAGATACAAAGCACAAAAATTGCATGAATTGAAACGAACCAAAAGAGATAAAGAACATAAAATGTATTTATTTATTGAAAAAATCTTTTGTTATTAAAAATGATTCCACATTCTAATTATCATACATATATTTTTTTAGAAAAAAAAGAAAAGTAAAACATTAAATTAAGGCGTAATATAAACTAAAAGCAATATTATTAGTAAAATCTTAAAAATTTTTACAATAAACTGTAGTTTGTAAGCTACCTCTATGCGAAATGTCTGGAGAGTTATTATTTTAAATTTAAA